TCAAAAAGCTCTATTTGTGTGGTTTATATGCACTGACACTTACCATGTTAGAAACTGAAACTGAAAGAAACTTTTAAATACAAGACTATAAGGACATATTCTATTAGCTGTCGTCACCGACATCATCATTCATCATGTAGTATTTGGAGAACTCGACCGTACACGTGAAAACCAAACCAAACTCTCTGCCATCAAGTCATTTCCAACTCACAGCGACCCCTCCTTGGGTTTCTGAGGTGGTATCTCTACGGAAGTAGATCATCCAGTCTTCCTTCCGAGGAGTGGCTGGTGGGTTTGAACCGCCAGCCTTCTGATTAGCAGTCAAATGCCTTAGGCACTACGCCATCAGAGCTCCTATACACACGTTGGAGAATGAAAATAAAAACGAGGCTTTGAGAACCATGGAGTATGTGGACATACAGTTTTGTAGCATTTTACCTGCTTAGCAAGTCAAGAATAAACTCCTACCTACTACTTATACTTCAACTCCTACCTACTACTTATACTTCTCCTGAGTTTTCTAATTTTGGTATAGTGCCTAAGGAACTTGACTGCTAACCAGAAGGCTGGCGGTTCAAACCCACCAGCCACTCCTCGGAAGGAAGATGGGGCAATCTACTTCCATACTGCCTGGGAAACCCAAGGAGGGGTTGCCATGAGTCAGGTCTGACTTAACAGCACATAACAACAACACAACAACAACTTTCTTTTGGCCATTCTCCTTTTGGTTTTTGTTGTTTTGTTTACTGCCTGGAGTTAGACTGTAGGGTCAAGTCCTACACAAAAATGTAAAAACCCTTTGATGATCAAAGGGCAATATAATTTAGTTCCTTAGAATGAAAGTTAAGATTCTTTTCACTGGAAATGTTGTTGTTGTTGTTATTTGCCATCAAGTCGGCCCCGACTCAAAGCGACCCCTCCTTGGGTTTCCGAGGCAGTTATCACTACGGAAGTAGGATTGCCCGACCTTCCTTCCGAGGAGTGGCTGGTGGGTTTGAACCGCCAGCCTCCTGGTTAGCAGTCAAGTGCCTTAGGCACTATGCTACCAGAAATCAGGGAAACAAAGTGTATGGAGACACTGTGACAATACTAATCATTTGTTTCCAGTGAATGATTCTCCTTAACAATTCTCTGCCGTACCTTTAATTATTTTAAATTTTGTAAAATCCTGATACAAGATGACGGAGCACAGCTTAGCTAACTTACACTTTGTTTGCTTCCCGGAAAACTTTATTACCCCTGTGGAGGCAGCTGAACCAGCTCTGTAGTGGGGGCTCTCTCTCTCTCTCTTCTTTCTCTCTCAGTCAGGGCTGGACTGCCATTTTTGTTTTATTTTCATGTAAGCAGCTGAGGCATTTTCCTCATTATCTAGAACCTGAGTGAAGGTTTCAGGTTTCCCCTGAGATAACTCAGAGAAACATGGTTTTACTCAAGTACTAATATTAATGTTTTTATAACTTGTTATTTGCTTTCTATGCTGTTACTCAACTGACTTGTGAATTATACAGTATAATGAGGATAAACATTTTCTTAATAAACTCAGAAACCTCCAGATAGACTGAAAGTACTCTGTGTACTACAGTGAGAAGAAAAACATATCTTTATTTTGAAGCACTTACTAAAACTCTTTGCTAATAGAGTCCATTCAGTCCTGCTGGAGAAAGTGTGCATCTGGGACTCCACTGCTGCATTAAGACCCTTTCATTTTCCCTTTCCAGCTTTTATAAACAAGTGGTCTAACGCATTAGTACAGGAAACACATTTTTTTGTGGTTATAGGCAAAGATACTTAACAAGTAATATTTTCAGGGAAGAAAAGGAAGGAATATATTTTATTTTCTCAGTTAATGATCAGTTTAAATGAGGACAGTAAGAACATAGTTTCAGTGTGCAAACCACTCTTTTGAGCAATGGAAATGACCAATAAAATCTGAGTTATCATGAAAGAAGAACATACTACAGTGCTAAATTGTAAGGTTACTAGTATTTGCTTTAATCACTCTTCAGTGGCAGGAGGAATGATTCACAGTTATCATCACGACTACTGAATTAGCCCTAAACCATCCTCTTCAGTTAATTCCGAGGAAAGGCAGCAGAATTCAAGTTCATAAACCCATTTGGAAAGCGTGATTTACAAAGTTGCATACACACAAATGTTAAAATAAGAACCATGAATGGCAGATTCCAAATGGAATTTTTCCAATATCTCTAGGAAGCAGATGCTCTAAGAAATTCATTTGTACTTAGTGAAAATTTCATGCAAGAAGAAAATAGTCAATCAGTAACTCTAAAAACCATAAAGTTCAATAGTAAAATTGACATGGTTGTTATGGATTCAAATTTATGCACTGTCCTTTCTTTGAAAACTCCATGATTGTCAAATACTATTACATATGGCTCATTTTCTCAAAGAAGTATCAATGTTATGAATCTGTTATACAAGGAGAATCCTGCTAGGGTAACTTAAAGTTGACTGCATGAATTCAATACATTTTTTGCAGAACAAATGACACAAGAATGCTACATAAATCAAATGATAACTGAATAAAAATAACAAAACATTTATGGATGAACTAAATTGAATTTCTTAATAAATATAATTTCCCACTGCCACCTGGCACCCAACTGAAGTTTCCAAGGAGCAATTAGAAAGAAGCATTTTTATTATCACAAGTCACGGCAAGTGTAACATTAAGGGAGCTATTATGCTAATTTTAAAACGTTAAGAACATTTAAGTGGCAGGAAAATTATGAAAGATACTTGATTTTCTTTTTTTACTACAGAAGTTCTTCAGAATCATAAATTCAATATACCTTCACGGGATAACAGACTATAACCCCCTCCACACACACATACCCTCTCTCTGTACATAAAGGAAAAAAAATAGCACCAGCCAGGCTGTGGCTGCACATGGCTATCTTTGTTTATCAGTGACTGATATCCGGACTGGGTGCTATTTCCACAGTCTCATATCAGTCAACCATTTAGAAATGAAACCAACCACAGGAAACAAGCAAAACAACTCTCCAGCTGTCTGGTATGCATCACCAATTAAGAATCAAAATTTAAAATTCTCTAAGTTTCCAGGATCAGTCCACTAAGGTGCCATCTGGTGATTTAGGTTGGTTCTTATTAGAACTTGATGACTACTTCTGTGATTTATGATGAGATTATTTTAGCATCCTTACAGAGGCCTACTTCCAAAACATAAGAAATATGTAGTGGCACTGCCCTAAAGGAACTCATCATGCTTTCTCCTTCTGTTATCATGTAACACTCCTAGTCTACTCCATCATCATCCTCTGAGGTCATCTTTCAATGGGGTAGAACAAAGGTAACTTGTCACCGCTATACTCTTCTGACCAGGGTTAACGAGACAAGGCTGGCACACTGCTAAAGGGGCAAGGAGGCTGCATCTCCTGACCTCCACTAACCCCACAAGGAGGAGAGAATCACCATCAGTAGCCCAAGGCTTATTCCTGCAAGGACAGACATGCTGCCTCCCTCCAACTCTTTCACCAAACTTGACACCAACTGTTCCTCCCGCAGCACTCACCACCTTTCTGCTGGGTTTGATAATTCACCGCAGTGGCCATACAGAACTCACAGATTGTGGAGTTTATGAGGGAAGCACCAGGCTACAATTCAAATTCAGGAACAACGCTCAGTCTCTCCTAGCCCGCCGTCTCTCAACCAACAATCTCCCACAATCTCTCTCCCAGCAGTGTATATCTCTCGGTCTCTCTCTCAGCAATGTGTCGCTCTTGCGTCTCTTTCCCAGCAGCACATGTCTCTCAGGAGCGCATGTGTCTCAAGAGCGCTTGTCTCTCAAGAGCGCGTGTCTCTCAGGAGCGCATTTCTCTCAGCAGCGCATCCTTCTCAGCCAGCAGTCAGAGAGACCTCTGTCTCTAATGAGGCCTCCTTTTGAGCCTGGCAGAGTGGCCAAACTAACCAATCATAACATCAGAATTCTAAGCACCTGAGAGACAGCAAACTTCCCAGAACACTGCTTTGTGCCACCCCTCAACAGAAATACCCCAGGTGGATAACTTTAGCAATCAGGAGCTCCTCAGTTGCTCATGGCAAATTCCACCTTGGAGTTTACAAAGACTTATGGGTAGAAAAGCCACACTAAGTAATTTACTATACCACACACACTGATCAAATCATAGCTAGTCAGATTCTTTCCCTGGATCTGAGAATTAGAACTTCAAAACTCATCACATAGCTAAAGGCACTAAACTCATAAAGAGATGTTATGGGGGTGGGCAAGGGTTGGGATTACTATTTTAGGTCCAAGTACATTGATGAGCAAATACACAAACCTGGGCTGTAGGAAACAGCAGAAGAATAAAGCCAAAGCAGAAAGCAGCAGAGACCACAGGAATGCATAGGAAAGAAGGATACAGGGAAAAGGTAACCACAGAAAGGAAGTAGGAAGAGAACTGTTACAATGCAGGGATTGCAATCAATGTCACAAAACAAAACGTACATGTATTGTTGAATGGAAAATGAATTTACTTTGCAAAGTGTCACCCAAATCACAATTTAAAAACAAACAAAAAAAGGCAGCAGGAACAGAGACCAGAAACTAAATAGCCCCGGAAAGACAAGATTATTCTTGAACACAAGCACTTTTCAATTTCAGACTCTAGTTTTCTGTGAAATCCAGATGTACATCCTCTACCTGAATTCAGTGAGAAACCCCTGCACACTTCCTACAAAACCTCTCCTTTTTTGTGTAACTAGTTTGAGTGGGTTTCTTGACTAAAATGTTAAGATCACTAATTCCTATTAATCAATAGTTTAGGATTGATAGTCCTTAACAGATTTTTAATATTCATTTCAAATTTTTCCTCAATTTGAGAAATGATACCTGAGTATTAAGTGTTTCTAGGGCACCAAGATTTCAGTCCATTTTGACAGAGAGGACTATTATTATTTATAAATTAAACAATGAAAGGAAATTTTTTTATTGACAAAGTAAGGTAACTACTTACATAATCTGGTAGAGGGACATCACTGGAACTCAGCGAACCTCTCAATGACTGTGTGGCTTGCTCCAAGACCTTGTTGTGTTTTTTAGACAGCAAAGAAAACAAACTGAAAAAACAAACAAAACATCCAATTACATCAGAAGAACTGAAATGTCTCATTTTCTAGGTCTTAAGTGGAATTACACAGTTTCACAGTTACTCTAAAATATACTGGTAAATGACCACCATCCTTTGTTCATGCTTCTGTTAATAAGGATTACCAGTATTATTTATGAAACAAAAATGAAGTCACGAGGATGTTTAAATTATTAGGGTTCTCAAAAAAAACCCAAAACTTTGACACCTTGAAATTATGTTTCAAACAGGTGAAATTTTTACAGATTACTACAGTGGAAAGAACAGTGGATAGAGATTTAGAACCCTGCAATGTGGACTGACTATGACTAAGTCAAAGTGTAATCTGTAACTAGTGACTTGAGTTTGTTGCATCTCATGTTTCTCACTTTTAAAAGAGTGTCTTGGATTCGATTGTTTCTCTAGTATAATATAGAGTCTGTGATTCTGTATTATAGCTATATATTCTTATTTCTCAAAAAAGAATTGACTTTAAACATATATAATTTAATATTTCTGTTTCTAGCCATGATGCATTAACTGGTACCAACCAATGCGTCTGCTGCAAACAACTAAAAACCTAGACAAAATCTATAGGAAACAAGTGTTTTCATCTGCTGTACAATATATCAAGTGCAGAATTGTGATCTTGAAAAAAAGAAAGAAAGAAATACAAGCCCCATAATCCCATAATAGTGAGTTTCTACTTTGAGGAACATTTCAAACCATCATTCAGAAAGTGAGAACCAAACAGTGAACAGAGGGCTGCGTTGGCGGCTCAAATTTACAGGGTGGAATACTAGAGAGGAGACACTTGTAAGAAAGGAGCTCCAGAAATCTGCACAAGTATCTTCTTGAGTAAAAAAAAACCAAACTCATTGCTGTCAATTCGGATCTGACTCATAGCGACCTCTCCTTGGGTTTCCCAGGCAGTATCACTATGGAAGTAGATTGCCCAATCTTCCTTCAGAGGAGTGGCTGGTGGGTTTGAACAGCCAGCCTTCTGGTTAGTAGTCAAATGCCTTAGGCATCACACCACCAGAGTTGTAATGTACAGAGAAATACCACACAGGGGATGACAATGAATAACTATTTAGAAGCTATGAACTGAACAGAGATTTTGGAGGCCACAAAAGGCTGAGAGATGTCAGAGTTTCAATCAGCCAAGGTGGTTATAAAACTCACTGAACACCATAGGCATTTACCTGGGTTCTCAGAAAGGCCATGCTTTATGAGTAATATGAGTAAGGCTATTCTAACCCAGAGTAAGGACTCTACTCTCTATGCACCCTAACAAAGTTAAAAGAACAATCTTCAAAGAACTAAAACTGATCTACAAGTAAATTAGCTATATGTCAGAACAAAAGAAGAATTTTTTTCTTATGCATTTTATTGAAATATAATTTATATACAGTGAAATACACAAAACTAAAGTGACATGGGTCAATGCATTTTTTTTTTTTTTCTTTTTTGCAGTGTTTCCTCCCCTCCCCTCTCATCCCTGGCAACCAACAAAGAAAGTTTCCCTCCATATATAAACCTTTCCTTGACCCTTGTGGACAATAAACTAATACTATATATGTCCTTCTGTGATTGACTTATTTCATAGCATAATGTCCTCCAAGTTCATCCATATTATGCGGTGTTTTGCAGACTCTACATTATTCTTTAGTGCTGCATGTTGTTGTTATGTGCTGTCGAAGCGGACCCGACTCATAGCAACCCCTCCTTGGGTTGCCGAGGTAGTATCACTACAGAAGTAGATTGCCCAACCTTCCTTCTGAGGAGCGGCTGGTGGGTTTGAACCACCAGCCTTCTGGTTAGCAGTCAAGTGCCTTAGTATGCTACCAGAGCTCCTGTTAGTGCTGCAAAGTATTCCATTATGTGTATGTGCTATAGTTCGGTCATCCACTCTTCTGCTGATAGGCACATAGGTTGTTTCCATCTTTTCGCTATCATTTATAGTGCTGCGATGAATATGACTATGTGTGTATCTGTTCTTGTCCTGGCTCTCACCTGTCTAGGATATATTTCTAGTAATGGGACTGCTGGGTCAAATGGTATCTCCAATTCCAGTTTTCTAAGGAATCACCACAATGCTTTCCACAGTGGTTGTATCACTTCACAGTCCCACCAGCAGTGTATGAGAGTCCCAATCTCTCCACATCCCCGTCATCATTTGTTATTTTCTGTTGTGTTGAACCTGGCCATCAGTGCTGAGGGGAGACAGTGTCTCGTTGTTTTGATTTGCATCTCTCTGATGGCCAGTGATTGTGAGCATCTCTTCACGTATTAGCTGGCCACCTGAATATCCTCCTTGGTGAAGTGTCTATTCATGTCTTCTGCCCATTTTTCAACTGGATGGTTAATTCCTTTGGTGTTAAGGCATTGGAGTTTTCTATAAATCTTAGAGATAAGTCCCTTGCCAGATATGTAATTATCAGCAAATATGAATTTGTTGCTGTCATTTTTGTTACATGTTTTTTCATGGTGTCAATTTCTTTAGAACAAAAAAACAATTCTTAAAGACAACAAAATTCATACACCAACAATGTGGCATCCATAATTTCAAGCAAACAGTGAAAATTACTAGACATGTGATGAAGCAAAAAAATATGACTCATAAAAGGAGAAAAATAAATTAGCCAATAGAAAGAGAACCTAGAAACACTGAAATTAACAACTATTTTAAAGTGTTGAAAAATTTAAAGAAAAACATGAACATAATGAGGAAACAGATGGGGAATATCAATAGAAATGGAAATGTTCTGGCATACAGTTATTTTACTTGTAGATCAGTTTTATCTCTTTGAAATCTGTTCATTTAGCTTTGTTAGAGCGCATCCAGAGTACAGTCCTTACTCTGGGTTAGAACAGCCTTACTCCTAAAAGAGGTTGGTTTTTTTCCCCTCCAGTACCCTTATTCTATCACCTATGTTGGCTTTTTGGCTACACTCTGTTTTATTTTTTCAGTCATTGCCTGACTTTACATTATGCATATTTAACTTATCACAATCTACCATAAGTTAATATTAAATTAATTCACATATAACGTAAGAAACTTGCAACACTACACTTCTCTTTCCCTCAGTGTTCAAATGTTCTACTTTCACTGAAAAAGAATGGAAGTAATCTATGTTAACTTTCACTACTAACTTAAGAAAATTATTAAGACCTAGGAGCTCTGATGGAAGAAACATGGGGCAATCTACTTCCGTAGTGATACTGCCTCGGAAACCCAAGGAGGGGTCGCTATGAGTTAGGTCCAACTCGATGGCATATAACAACAACAACAGGAGCTCTGGTAGTGTAGTGCCTAAGGCATTTGACTGCTAACCAGAAGGCTGGTGGTTCAAACCCACCAGCCACTCCTCAGAAGGAAGAATGGGCAATCTACTTCTGTAGAGATACTGCCTCAGAAACTCAAGGGGGGGGGGGTCGCTATGGGTCAAAATCTACTCAACAGCAGTTAGTTTGGTCTTTTTTTGGTTTTAGGAACCAAAGCAAAAAGGATTTGAAATTATTTTCTTTGGAAAAGAAAGGCTAGTTTGTTCATTTATTTTTAAAGTGAATACTAACAATCTGTTCTCCTTGTTAGTAAATCAAACAAGAAAGTGAACTTCAACCAAAACATAAGATATTTCAGTTGGATATGATGAAAAATTTTACTACTAGGGGCATGAAATGTTGAAATAATCCACTCAACAAGCTATAGATACTGCTCCTCAGTTATCTTTAAGAAGTTCAATTTAAGAACAGATTTGAGGTCACGTCTAGTTTCCTGATTATCATGAATGAGAAATACAGAATTCACACTTACTTCAAGTGTTCATTCTTACACAATTTAATAGCTTTTTTTTCTCAGATCTTATAAGCTAGAGCTTTCAGAGATTTTGTTTTGTTTTTTTTACTTTCTAATTTTGACTTCCCTCTAGCATTTTTATGATAAAATGACCTGAACTTATGAGACATGACTAGCAAACTGCTCAATGAGAAAAGTATCTTTTGCAAACGAAAACCTTTGCATTCAAAGGAGTAGTTCCAGCTTAATCCTATAAAGTGATATACACATGATGTTTGTGCACAAATGGCTAAATATGACTTTTAAAATAAGTGAAATTGATAGTCAAATCTGTTTAGCATTCAATAGTCAGAACAGAGCTGCCAGAATACTGTTTAAAATTATAAAAAGAGAAGATTTTCCTTTATATATGAGAATGTTAATTATAAATTGGTTTAACAAAAGAAAAAACTGAAAACTATCAAAATATTAATCAAGAATACAACAGATTAATAAACTGTCAATAAATACAATATAGCAGTTTGAAATTATCTAAAGCTACATGTATCAATATGGATAAATCTCAAAAATAATGCTGAATAAAAAACAAACACAAACCCTTATACAAGAATGTGAACAAGATGATATTAAGATAAACACAGACTGTATTACGTATCTTTTATAGATAATGAATAACTTAAAATACATTTGAAAATGATCAACCCTACCTGTAGGGTACCCATCATTACCTGAGAAGGGAAGGAAGGGAACAGAACCAGGGAGGAAAGCAGGGGGCTCAGAGAGACACATGTCATGTTTTACTGGTTACACTGGACATGTAACACACGATTAGTCTTTGTTTTTCTTGCCTGAAATTATATATTTTAAAAAACTTCACTAAAAGAAAATGTTAAACTGAAGAAAACAGAGCCCCTGCCGACAGACAACACTTCACAAATGAAAGAAGCACACAGAAAGAATGCGTGTGGTCAGTTCAAACTAAGACCTGCCCCCAAACCACAAGCTGTTGGGAACGACTCCAGTTTAGGGTACACAGGTGGTAGCAGCAGATGAGAGCAGAAATGAAGGCAGCCTGGAAACAGACCATGAAGGGCTGCTTAAAATCCGGGATGTTGCAGAGATTAAGAAGCTAATGAAACGCCAACCTTACAAAATGATGAACAAGACAGTGTTGTTTGCTCCTAAGCAGC